TGTGTGTTATTGTGTGTGTGTTATTGTGTGTGTGTGTGTGTGTGTGTTATTGTGTGTGTGTTATTGTGTGTGTTATTTTATTGTGTGTTATTGTGTATGTTAATGTGTGTGTGTTTGTGTGTGTGTGTGTTATTGTGTGTGTGTGTGTGTTTGTGTGTGTGTGTGTGTGTGTGTGTGTGAGATTGCGTGTCAGTCGCGGAGCTCGTCGCGCACGCGCTGCAGGCGCGCGGCTCACCTTGCTCGCGGCTCAGCAGGAGATTGGCTGCTCACTTTTTTCCCATGATGCCGTATGTTCCGGAGCGGACTACATGTGGACCGGCAGCAGAGCCGAGGTTCGGTTCGGCAGGTGGGGCTGTGTGCGCGGACGGAACCATGGCGGCCAAAAGTTCGGACGGGTCCATTAAATGGCAGCTCTGCTACGACATCTCAGCCCGGACCTGGTGGATGGTGAGTCGGTTCTGGTTCTGGTTCTAACTTTCTGTCTCTCTTTGCTGGGTGTCCGGTCCAGTCGGGTCCGGTCCGGTTCGGCTGCTGAAGCTGAGCACAGTTGGACTCTGCTGACACTTCGGCACCGGGGGATAATTAGCGGTGATCGTCCCGGACTGGTGGAAGTTCGGTTGGCTCATTAGGCTGCGGGTTCTGTTCAGGAAACCCAAACGACCTTTGACCCCGGTCACTGAGGCTGCACAGAGGGTCGAACCGGGAGGGGGTTCGGTTCCTCACAATGGGCCAGTGTGTCGGCTCGGTCCAAACAAACCCGGACATCAAAGGACTGAGTTCATTATCGGACAGCTAAGCTGCGGCCCGACCACCGGACCGGAACCAGGACCGGAACCAGGACCGGAACCCGGAGCTCTGGCCGCTGCTGGTTCGGTCAGTCCGGTACCGGAGCAGAACGTGCGCGCGCCTCGGACACGGAGCGGCGGAGCTGGTCTTTGATCCGGCCCAGGTTCTGTTGGTCCGGTTTTAACCGAACCGTTTTTTGATGAAGCAAAATTGATTTAAGTTTTACTTTTGATCTATTTATTTAATAATTCTCTTGTTTTATTCGATTTTTGAGAAAACAAATTATTAAAATATGAGATTAAATTCATTAAAATATCAGATTAAGTTTAATAAAATATCAGATTAAGTTTAATAAAATATCAGATTAAATTTGTTAAAACATCAGATTAAAAATCAAATAGAGATTTAAAAAGTTTAAAAATATAATTTTCCTGTAAAAAAATAAAAATAAAAAAATAATTTAATTTCAAACCTCATTTTTGAGGTTTTATTTTATTTTGCTTTAATTCCGTAAAACCTTCAAATGTTTTTTTTTTTTAATTTCCAAATAAAATCCAAAATGTTCAATATAATATTTAATTAGTAATTTTAAACAGCAATGTATTTTTAAAGGTAACAATATCTAAAGTGATAACGTTTAATTTTTGATTTTAACTTCAGATTATCTGAAGCAGATTTCATTTAAAGATAAAATAATTTAAAGTTAAACACTTTGATCTCCTTATTTCTAAATATTTAGGACTAATTTAATATTTGTTTGTAAATAACGGATTTAGAATATTTGGAGCTTTAATTTGAATCATCTGAATTAAAACTGGGTCTCGTTTTAATCCAACGTGTCGTCTGTTTTTTTCTGCCGGTCCAGATTAAGTTTGTGCTCAGACCCGTTAAAATGATCCGGTAACAACCGGAGCGGAACCGGTGCCACGCTCGATCTGTGTCTGGGAGTTCGAAGGACCGTTGGAAAAACACGACGCTGAGACGAACGAAACTCTTCGTTTAGTTTTTTAACTTCGAACCAGAAACTCCGAGTCCAAACATCACGAGACAAAAAGATTTACAGATTCACAATTAATCTGACAGATTGAGAGCAAAACATCCAGAAACTATAACTTTTAACAAACCGTTTGACTAAATTTAGTATTTTATTTGCAGATTAACAAGAATAACAGATTATTAATAAAATGGACAAATTATTAATAAAATCTGACGGATTATTAATGAAAACGGACAGATTATTAAAAAAAACTAACAGATTATTAATACAAAATGACAGATTATTAATAAAATTAGACATATTATTTATAAATGTGACAGTTTATTAATAAAAACGTACAGTTAATAAAACTGACAAATTATTAGTAAAATTGACAGATTATTAATAAAATGTCAGATTGTATTAATAATCTGTCATATTTTATTTTATTAATATATATATATATATATATATATTATTAATAAAATCTGACGTATTATTAATACAATCTGACAGATTATTAATACAATCTGACAGATTATTAATACAATCTGACAGATTATTAATACAATCTGACAGATTATTAATTAAAACTGACAGATTATGAATAAAATCCCTCAAAGGATGAATTTCTCAGCCACCTTCCATCAGATCTTCTGGGTCCTGGGTCGACCATGGACCCGGCCGGGTCCAGAACACCTGCAGTGGTTTCAGTCTCTGTGAGTCCGGACCTGTTCACTCGGTCTTACTGGTTTTAATAAACCTGGTTCTGGATCTGGTCTTTGTTCAGAACCATCTGGATCCAGCTCGGAGCATTTTCTAGTTCTGACAGCTGAGTGTTTGTGGTCTGTGTGAGGTCCAATTCATCAGAGGAGTGTCAGACCGGGCCTGCACACAGAACCTTCAGATCCAAACTCGGAGCCAGAACTCGGCGTTCGGATCAGTTATTCCAGCATAAACTAAACCGTCTCGTTTACAGAACCACGATGCTCGAGTTCTGTCAGGAGGACTTTGGGTTCAGAGACGAGATGGTTCTGATGTGGTTCTGTTGCGTATGGATGGACTGGTTCTGGATGTATTCTCCAGAACCAGCGCTTGGGTTCTGTGACTCATCGAGACTCATCAATTCAAGATGGCCGCCACAGAAGAGCGAGCTCAGAACCCAGTCCGTGTTCCTGATACCAAACTAGAACTTGGTGTGGTAGTAGCTGAGAGTTCTCCCCAGAACCTTTGACCAGTTTAGCTTTCTCAGACAGAACCCGTAAGTTCTGGTTCTGATGGTGTGTTCATTAGACTTTTCCATGTTCTCATGTTCCATCTGGACTCGACCTGTTCTTTCACTGTGGAGCAGAACCAGTGAACCCAGATCGTCAGAGTCAGAGATTCTTTATTGTCATTCGCAGCTCATGTGGTTCATGTGGTGGAGCGACATGATGTATCAGATTGTTCTGATGGATGTGAGAACCCTGACCTCAGGTCACTGTCTGTGGGAACGTCTGAGGGAGCGTCTGTGGGAACGTCTGTGGGAACGTCTGAGGGAACGTCTGTGGGAACGTCTGTGGGAACGTCTGAGGGAACGTCTGAGGGAACGTCTG